GTCCCCGGTGCCGCCGGTGCCACCGGGGCCGCCGGGCCTCGTCCCGCTCCGTGCTCGCCTCCTCTCGGCCTTTCCCCGTTGCGGCGCCCGGCGCTGCCCCGTGTCCCTTCTAAACACCCCCCGGGCGGGCCCCGGCCCCGGGGGCTCTCCCGGGGGCTCTCCATGGGGACGGTGACCGGGACGCGGTGACAGGGACCCCGTGTCCAGGAGGGCTGCCCGGCCCCGCTGTGGCGGCGGCGGCGGTGGGAGGCCGGTTGGGGGTTGCCTTGGTAACAGCCGAGCTGCCGCTGGTGAATTTTGCATCCCTTAGACACAMATAGCGCCCGGAGTCGATACAGGGGCTCGGCGCTGCCCTGAGGGTTGTCGCGGCCCGGCRGAAAAGCCATAATTTAACTGAATTTTTGTCTCGCTTTCAGGGCTACTCGGAGTCCCCAGACCTGGAGTTTGAATATGCGGATACCGACAAATGGGCAGCAGAGCTTTCCGGTAAGGAAATGGGCCTGATGCTCAATTAATCGCCTGCTCTTTCTGTCTTGGTAGTGATTAAAGGGGTCCATCGACATCAGTACAGCTTTGCTGATGTCTTTAGACACCTCATTTTTGTTGAAAAGGATGCCACGTCACGTAATTAGTTTTTTTGCCATCCTCTGGATGTGCATTTTGGTTTCCCTCCTCTGGGCTGCAGCAGCAGCTAGCTTGGCCGGGTTGTGTTTGGAGCAAAAGGCTGTTCCTCAAGTGCTTGACAGCAGCTTTTCCTTGAAAAGGCAGATCTGAAATCATTTAGCCATGAAAGCACTTAAATCAGASAAAAAGGAAAGGTAGAAGCGCTGGTTTTGGTGACTGATGGCAGCTAGCGGTGCCAGGGGGCCAGGATCGGTTTCCCCGCTGTGTCCCGGTGTCTGCGAGTGACCGACCGGTTTCTCCGCTCTTCCTTGGCAGAGCTCTACAGCTACACGGAAGGGCCCGAGTTCCTGCTCAACCGCAAGTGCTTTGAGGAAGACTTCAGGCTCCATGGTGAGAACCTTCTCCTGCGCCTCTCCCGCACGGGCAGGGACGGGGTGTGCGGGGTGGGTGTGCGAGGGCCTCAGCTCTTTCCCCATCAGCACCAAGTGCTGTCAAACGGGCACCTTCCTGCAGTCACAGAATCCCAGAATGGTCGAGGTTGGAATGGACCTCTAGAGATCATCTAGTCCAACCTTCCTGCTCCAGCRGGGACACCCAGAGCACGGGGCACAGGGCGGTGTCCAGGTGGGTTTGGAAGACCTCCAGAGAAGGAGACTCCACAACCTCCCTGGGCCGCCTGTGCCAGTCGTGCSCTGCGAGCAGGGCTTGTCCCCATGCCCACGCCACACGTGCCCAGTGACACACGCAGCCTCCCACGAGCACCCAGCTCAGCGGGGCRGCCCCCCTTGCCCTCCCGCTGGATGCTTTCAGATTTGAATGCTGGGGGGGGGCTCTGCGTGTCCTCATGCTGCTGGCCTTGGCTTTTCAGTGCGGGACAAGAAGTGGACCGAGCTGGACAAGAAGCAGCACCGCACTCACGCCATGCGGCTCCTCGACGGGCTGGAGGTCACCGCGCGGGAGAAGCGGCTGCGCGTTGCCCGCGCCATCCTCTACGTTGCCCAAGGTGCCGCGCGGCTGCCTTGCCTTCCCGCCGCTCGGTCTGGGCAACCAGTTGGAAACTGTGGCTTTAAAATGCCTGAATTCCTCAGCGTGTCTTTGGATGCTCAGAACTAAGGGAACCTCTCATGGTCTTTCAGGTTATAAGCTTTTAACAGCACTGAGAGCCAAAGATTTTATAGGAGATCCAGAATTTGGAGGTTTTGATCCAAAATTTGGTACTTTCGGTGTGCTGCCCTGACTCTGTTACCCACAAGGGGGCAGTTCTGCCCCCTGCATCTGCTTCCTTGTTTTAAAACTTGTGGATGTGGTTTCCATTCTCTCTCGCTGGCAACACGGGAGGGCCTTGGCGTTCCTGCGGGAATCCAGCAAGGATGTTGTTACAGGCACTTTCGGGGAGTGCGGCTCCGAGGCGGACGTGCAGGCCTGGATGAGGTACAACATCTTCCTGCTGCTGGAAGTGGGGACGTTCAACGCGCTGGTGGAGCTGCTGAACATGGAGATTGAGTGAGTGTCAAGCAAAGACGGTCGGAGATGGCCCCGGAGCTCTTCTCTCGGCATGGGGCTTTCTAGCTGGTGGCAGCTGCTTTGTCTCCAATCTCATTCCTCGCCTATCTCTAATTTAATCCTTGCAGTACTGGAATGCCTCCCATTGTTTGGGAGCGCTCTGTAATGCAGGATTATATGCAAATTATACCAAAATTCTTTCTGGCTGTGCTGTTTGGCAGTAAGCTGAAGTGGCTCTGGTCCTCCCTCGACCTCCCTGTGAATTGGGGCTCATCGCAGCACTGCCTGGCCCGAGGGCTGGTGCTACTGGGCAGGCTGCTCGTGCCAAGGCCGAAATCTCCCCAAAGCCTCCGTGTCCGAGGCTCCTCTCCCCAAAGCCCCCGTGTCCGAGGCTCCTCTCCCGAAAGCCCCCGTGTCCGAGGCTCCTCTCCTGAAAGCCCCCGTGTCTGAGGCTCCTTTCCCTCTGCAGCAACAGTGCAGCTTGCAGCAGCGCGGTGAGAAAACCTGCCATCTCCCTGGCCGACAGCACGGATCTGAGGTACGGAGCCGGGGCTGGGCGTGAGGAGACAGCAGCTCCTGACCGTGGGGACAGGGCAGGGCAGGGGGTGTTTCTGTACATTAACTTGCAGGTCAGTCTGTATGCTGTCCCGCGCCAGAGCCTGGGCCCGGGAGCTTTGGAATGGAAGCAGGGGGATGACCTGGGCAAACTGAGGCTTCCCCCAGAGCACAGGGTGCCCGCAGGCTCTCTGTAACCCGCCACGGCCTCGTGCCCCGCAGGAACTAGCCCGTTTTGTCACTCTTTGCAGGGTGCTGCTGAACATCATGTACCTGATCGTGGAGACAGTGCGGCAGGAGGCCGAGGGGGACAAGGCGGAGTGGAAGGCCATGAGGCAGACGTTCCGCGCGGAGCTGGGTATAACGGGATGAAGGTTCCAGGGGGAAAGGAGCAGTGGGCGGTGACTGGATCTGGACATTGGTTAATGGGAGCTACAGGCATCGGGTTGGTTCCTGCCGGGGTTGGTGCATGTAGGCTGCGAGTGTGGGGGGTGGCAGGGGCTCTGTGCAGGCCTGAGCACGGCCCTGCTGTCCTTGTGTGAACCCAGGAGCGCCKCTCTACAACAACGAGCCCTTCTCCGTCATGCTTTTTGGGATGGTGACCAAATTCTGCAGCGGCCACGCTCCACACTTTCCCATGAAGAAGGTGCTGCTCTTGCTGTGGAAGACTGTGCTGGTAAGTGAGAGGCGGGGGGGGGGTGTTGAGATAACTCTGGTAGKTTTAGCTTTAATAAGGGAAGGAAATTCCACCCCCGAGCTGGCTGTCCTTTCTTTCCAGGTTAAACTTGGATMGGGTTTGTGTAGGGGAGCACTGGTGGTTGGTCTCTAGAGCTGGACTCCAAGCTGCAGCCAAAACAAGGTGCTGAGCTTGGGTGCGTGCAAAGGAGAAGGTCCAGCTGCCTCTGCTGCAGTTACTGAGCACCTTCCTGTCCCTTTGGTCTGGCTCAGGGATGAAAGCAGTGCCGGGGCGGATAGATCTTGCTTTGCTCTGTGAAGGATTTGGGCCTCGTGGTGGATTTAGGGAGGGCAGGAGGAGAAGCCCTTGGTGCTGCGCGTGGAGGAGGCTCCTGTGTCAGGGTGCCCTGGGCTCCCTTGCAGTGCACRCTCGGGGGCTTCGAGGAGCTGCAGAGCATGAAGGCGGAGAAGCGGGAGATCCTGGGGCTCCCGCCGCTGCCCGAGGACAGCATTAAGGTGATCCGCAACATGAGGGCCGCGTCCCCGCCGGCATCGGCCTCCGACCTCATCGAGCAGCAGCAGAAGCGGGGCCGGCGGGAGCACAAGGTGAGGCCGGAGCGGGCGCTGCGGACGGTGACGCTGATCGGGGGACAGCCGGGCCCGGCACCAGCGCTCCGGGAGCAGCTCCTGCCCTGGGAATTTACCCGGCTCCTTCCCTCTGCAGGCTTTGATCAAGCAGGACAACCTCGATGCCTTCAACGAGCGGGACCCTTACAAAGCCGATGACTCCCGCGAGGAAGAGGAAGAAAACGATGATGACAACAGCCTGGAGGGAGAGACTTTCCCCCTCGAACGGGATGAAGTGATGCCTCCCCCCACCCAGCACCCCCCCAGCGACCGCATCGCCTGCCCCAAGGGCCTCCCTTGGGCCCCTAAGGTCCGGTGAGTCCGTGGGGCCACATCTTGGGTCAGGCTGTGGGGAGAGATGGAGTGACTGGCCAGGGAAGACAGCAGAGGTTGTGTTGCCCATCACTGTGGAGCTCAGCAAGGGGCTGAGTGGTCAATCTGATGGTCTCTTTGGTGGTCCATGGGCTTGGTACCATCTCTTTCACCTGCCTAGCAGTTATTTGCGATGCCTTATGGCTGGGGCTCTCGTGCACCCGCCCAGCAGCAGGGGGATTTGGGGCTGACCAGAAGATGCAGCATCTTCTCATGTCCCTTTCCCGCAGGGAGAAAGACATTGAGATGTTCCTGGAGTCCAGCCGCAGCAAGTTCATCGGCTACACGCTGGGCAGGTAGGCAGGCGGCTCGAGGGGCTGCCACGCTGTGGGGCTGGGGCAGAGGCCACTCGTGCGCAGGGCGTCATCGCCCTCCCGGTGCCGCCGCGGAAGCCCTGAAGTCACCAGCTCCTCCCGGGGCGGTTTGGGATCTGCCTGTGGAGGTGGCTCGGGGTTTGCTCCTCACCCGTCCTGGCTCTTGCCCTTCTCTCTAGTGACACCAACACCGTGGTGGGCTTGCCCAGGCCGATCCATGAGAGCATCCGCACGCTCAAGCAGGTAGGCGAGGGAGGAATTCCTCTGCCCCCCGTCTTTGTGCGGGGTCCCTTCCCCTGCCCGCAGCACCAGGGACAGGGCAGGCCGTTCATTTTCCTGGCTTCTCTCTGCCCCGCAAGGTGAGAGGCCTYGAGTTTCCTGCTCTTGCCTGGTCTCCCAGGCTGAGTCCCTCTCTTCCTCGGCTGCTTTTCCTTTCCTACCTAAACCTGCCCAGAGCTGAGACAAGCAGTTGTCACCTTGGCTGTCGGGATCAGTTCACAAGCGTTAGATGTGTCTAATGGGCAGGAATGGCAGAGGTTTCTGCAGAGCTCATGGGACAGAATAGGACACATGGCCACAAATTGAAGCCCCAAAAGTTCTACAGGAACTTAAGAAGAAATTGCTTAACAGAGAGGGTGCAGGGCCCTGGCACAGGCTGCCCAGGGAGGCTGTGGAGTCTCCTTCTCTGGAGATCTTCCAAACTCGCCTGGATGCCACCCTGTGCCCCGTGCTCTGGGTGCCCCTGCCTGTGCAGGGGCTTGGCCTAGATGACCTCTGGAGGTCCCTTGCAGCCTTAAGCATTGTGTGATTCTGTGAGCCCGTCCCGGCGGGACGYGCCGCGGGGCGCTGGGGTGGTGCACCCGGCGCTCTGGGCACGAAGGCGCCGCTCTGTCTCCGTGCAGCACAAGTACACGTCCATCGCGGAGGTGCAGGTGCACATGGAGGACGAGTATCTGCGCTCCCCGCTCTCAGGGGTGAGTGTGGGCTGAAGGGGGCACCCATCCCTGCATGGGCGCTGCGGGTGCCGGGCCTGCCGGGCCTTTGGGCTTTGAGCAGGTTGGGGGTTGTCCTGCGGCTTCTGGGGAAGGGCTTTTTCCAAGGGCAGAGTGGGGGTGTGCTGGGAGTGGGAGTATCCTGGCTTTGCCTCGGGATCGAGGAGCCTGGGGCGTGGACCCGCTCTGCTGGTGCCTGCTCTTGCTGTGAGGTTGTCTCGTCTCTCGTGGCACCAGGGGGAAGAGGAAGTGGAGCAAGTTCCTGCTGAGATCCTGTACCAGGGCCTGCTGCCAAGCCTGCCGCAGTACATGGTGAGCCAGGGAGCTCCGAGGGACCCCCGGGCTCTTCCCTCTCCCCCTCAAGCTCATGTGGAGGTGCCTGGTCCTGGGGTCTCTGTTCTCAGACATTTCCGGGGATGCCCTCCAGGTCTTCTCCTCTCCTAATGCGTCCAGCCTTGTTACTTTATCCTGTGACGGGTCGGGTGGTCCATGCCTGGTCTCTCCCCTGGTCCAGCTCTTGCTTCTCCTCAGATCGCGCTGTTGAAGATCCTCCTTGCTGCAGCCCCCACTTCCAAAGCCAAGACGGACTCCATCAACATCCTGGCGGACGTGTTGCCGGAGGAGATGCCGTGAGTGGCCGTGGAGGTGCTGGGTGGCAGCAGGAAAGGAGCAGAGGCTGGCTTGGACCCTGGCAGGGTGCAGCAAAGYTTACAGGCCGGCGCTAGGCTTGGCCTTGTTCAGCTTGGGAAGCTCCTCTTCCCAGTGGATCCGGTTTCCACGAGATGTAGGATTTGCTTTTGCCGATGGGGGTGTYGTTACATGCTCTGAGCTGCATGCTCCTCACATGCTCGTTACAGCTCTGAGCTGCATGGAGGGGGTTGTCCCTGTGTTTTGGGGGTGAAGTGCAGCCAGTGGCCACTGTTGGGTTGTTGACCTGGGATTAAGGGACAGGAGGGATGTGGAAGGGAAGGGTGCGCTGGATGTCCCCCAGGGCTGGCAGGGYGTGGACAGTGTCCCAACCGAAGGGTCCCTTCGTGTCCCTCAGGACCACGGTGCTGCAGAGCATGAAGCTGGGCGTGGATGTCAATCGGCACAAGGAGATCATCGTCAAAGCCATTTCCGCCGTGTTGCTCCTCCTGCTCAAGCACTTCAAGCTGAATCACATTTACCAGGTGAGGAGGGCCAGGGTCCCAGCGCCCGGCCACGGGGCCGGGGAGCCCCCAGGGTGGCCCCCCGTTCACCTGCCCTCCCTGCCTCTGCTCCCAGTTCGAGTACATGGCCCAGCACCTGGTCTTTGCCAACTGCATCCCGCTCATCCTCAAGTTCTTCAACCAGAACATCATGTCCTACATCACTGCCAAGAACAGGTAGTGGGAGGGGGCCGCAGGGAGCCCAGCTGGGTGTGGGGTGGGGGCTCTCTGCTTGCTTTGCTCCCCCTCCATGGGGGCTCCCTGGCCGTGGCCTGGATGCAGGCAGATGCCAGGGAGGTGCCCATCAGAGCCCCTCTCCTGCGGGACGGGGCCTGCATCGCCCCTACCCCAGGTAGGGACAACGTTTCCCCCTCCTTCGGGCAGCATTTCCGTCCTGGACTACCCGTACTGYGTGGTGCACGAGCTGCCGGAGCTGACGGCCGAGAGCCTGGTAAGCTGCTTCCTYGTCCCCCAGGCCCTCGGCTTGCTCGGCAGGGTGGGTGGCTTCTTGGAGGGGACAGGGCCGTGTCCCCCTGCCCTGGCACCCTGGGAGCTCCTGGGCATATCCAACTACATCCTCCACCGGGCGAGGGTCCTTGGAGCAGGACGGCCTCTCCTCCCTGCTCCCGTCCCTCCCCGTTCCTTGAGCCTTTGCGTTGTTCCCYGCAGGAAGCTGGAGATAACAACCAGTTCTGCTGGAGGAACCTGTTCTCCTGCATAAACCTCCTGCGCATCCTCAACAAGCTGACCAAGTGGAAGCACTCCCGCACCATGGTGAGGCAGCGCCGCGGGGCTTGGCAGGGATGCCCGGGACAGGGCCGGGGACTGGTGGCCCCTGAGCCTCCGTGCCGGCCTCCTCAGGCCTCCTTCCCCTCTTGCGGGGCGTTTTTGCCCCTCAGATGCTGGTCGTGTTCAAGTCGGCGCCCATCCTGAAGCGGGCGCTGAAGGTGAAGCAGGCCATGATGCAGCTCTACGTGCTCAAGCTGCTCAAGGTGCAGACCAAGTACCTGGGCCGCCAGTGGAGGAAGAGCAACATGAAGACCATGTCGGCCATCTACCAGAAAGTGCGGCACCGCCTCAACGATGACTGGGCCTACGGCAACGGTGCGTCCCTCGCGGCCGCTGCCGAGGGCCYTCTTGCCCGTTCCCGCTCCGTGTGGGGCTGCCTTGGAGCCAGAGCGGGCCCTTTGCAGGGCTCTGTGGATGGATTCGGGGTGGCAGCAGAAAGGGAAGGGGTTGGGGCTGTGGTGTTTGGCTGACGGGTCCCCCAAAGAGCGCCCCTGTGACCCCCTCGGCTCTGGTGAGGCTGCAGCTGAGCATTGGGGGCAGCTCTGGGCTCCCCAGCGCCAGGGGCTTGTGGAGCTTCTAGAGAGGGTCCAGCAGAGAGCAACAGGGATGACTGGAGCATGGGAGCATCTCTCCCATGAGAGATGGGATCGGAGCATCTCTCATATGAGGAAGGACTAAGCAAGCTGGGTCTGTTTAGCCTGGAGAAGAGACAGTTGAGAGGAGATCTGATCAGTAGGTACTAATACCTGAAGGGRGAAYGTAGGGAGGAAGGGGCCAAGCTCTTCTCAGTGGTGGCCGGTGACAGGACAAGGGGCARTGGGTACAAAYTGCAACACAGGCAGTTCCATCTSCATGTGAGGAAGAACTTGTGCASTGTGAGGGTGCCYGAGCCCTGGCACAGGCTGCCCAGGGAGGTTGTGGAGGCTCCTTCTCCGGAGGTCTTCCAAACCCGCCTGGATGTGMCTGGGTGCCCCGTGCTCTGGGTGTCCCTGTTTGAGCAGGGGGGTTGGACTAGATGATCTAGAGTTGGACTAGAGGTCCCTTCCAACCTGAACCCCTSTGTGATTTTGTGACCCGCCTTCCCTCCGGCCAGACCTGGACGCCCGGCCCTGGGACTTCCAGGCGGAGGAGTGCGCCCTGCGCGCCAGCATCGAGCGCTTCAACGCGCGCCGCTACGAGCGCGCGCACGGCAACCCCGACTTCCTGCCCGTGGACAACTGCCTGCAGAGCGTGCTGGGCCAGCGCGTGGAGCTGCCCGAGGATTTCCAGGTCAACTACGACCTGTGGCTGGAGAGGGAGGTCTTCTCGCGGCCCATCTCCTGGGAGGAGCTGCTGCAGTGACGGCCCGGCGGCGGGCGCAGCGGGAGAGGGCGCGGGGGAGCTCGGCCCAGGAGGCCCCGCTGCAGCCGCCCGGTTTCGGRCGCGACGCTCGGGGGGCGCGGGGTGCCCGGCGGCGGGGCTGGCAGGAGGCYGGAGCTGGGACACGTCCTCTCGCTCGGCCTCCTCCCAGGCCGGGCCGGGCTCCGTCCCGTGCCCAGGGTGGAGCCCCACCAGAGGGGCCAGAGCTGTGGGACRCATCCCAGCTCCCTCCTTGGGGCTCCCGCCTTTTCCAGCCGCCCGGGGCCGCGCTGGGCGAAGGGGGCAGATAGGGGGTGAGGGGCCCTTGGGTGCTGCTGTGGGACCCGGGAACAGGGAGCCGGCGAACACCCCGTGCTGGGGCCAGGCCCTGGTGGGACCCAGGGGCCCCCCTTGCCGAGGGGCTGGGGGGTTGGCACCTGCAGTCCTGCCCCGCCCCGTGGGGTGGGGGGGACGAGCTGTACATTTTTATATATATAAATATATATATGTACATCCATGTGACATCCCTGAGTGCGTCTGAGCTGTTCATGGCCCTGTGGCTTTTGCCGGGGAGGAATCGAGGGGTGAGTCCAGCGAGGGGACGGAGGGGGGGCTGCATGGGGGGGGGCCCCCCGGCTGCTCCTGTGGGGCTGCTCCATGGGGCTGCTCCGTGTGCCCCGCGCGTCCCGAGGCCGCCGGATGAGGTGGGTCCGGGGCTGGGGCGCGATGCCCAGCGGGGATGGACACGTCCCCATCCCTGCCCCTGTGCGCCCAGGCTGCGGGAGCAGCATGGCCCRCCGAGGAGGAGGAGGAGGAGGAGGAAGGCCAGGCACCCGCTTCGGAGCAACCTCCAGCTGCGCCGGGGCTTGCAGGGAGGCAAAAATGGGTCCAAAACGAAAAGAAAAAAGAGGGGGAAGCAGGAGGGGGAAGCGGCTGCGGCTGCGGTGCCCGCGGGCGCAATGAGGTGCGAGGAGGGCCGAGCACTTCATCACCCCCCCGCGCGGCGCCGCCTCCGCGCGGCTCCCCAGCTGCGCCGGGCGGCCCCAGCGCCGCCTTTATAGCGCCGGCGCGGCCGTAAATAACTTATTAAAAATGTGGTTTATTGTTTATAAACGGAGCACGAAATCGCGGCGGGGCAGGGGGGGTTGGTGGGGGGGATGCAGCCGGGCTGGGRCTGCGGGACCGGGCGGCGGCGCCCGGGTGGCCCCAGCACCCAAGGGAGCAGCCGGGCCCAGCAGAGCTGCCGGGGGTGGGATCCAGACGGAGGGTTTTTCCACCCAGGGGGCTGCGGTACCCACCGGGGCTGGGATGTTGCCATAATGCCTCCAKGGGGGAGGCAGGACATGAATCTGTCCTTTGGGGTGACCCCCCTGGGGCCGTTTCGGCTTTTCCCGCATACCGAGCGGCCTCCGGGATTTCCTGTGCCGCACGAAAGCCTGGAAACGCTGGATGAACCAGGCTCGGGGTGTCTAAAAACAACCGCGGGAGGCACCGGCTTTGGGTTCCGTGTCTTTATCCGGCTCCTCCACGAGCGTCCCAGGGCTGGGGGATCYTCCCGGCACCTCGAGCGCTGCCGTGCGCGGGGCTGCCAAGCTGCCTCCACCTCCTCTCTCCACCACGGCCTCCATGTCCTTCTTTTGGGGGTGAAGATGCTGCTTTTGGGGTCCCAAGCCTGCCCCCTCCTCCAGCTTGGTTCCCCCTTGTCATCGCCCAGCCGGAGCCGGGACAAGCGGCAGCGGAGCGGGATGAATCCAGGGGAGGTGACAGGCGGCCGGGGGGGCCTGGGGGTCTCGTCCCCGTCCAGGGGGGCTCACGTGGCCCAGCCCAGGAGGCYGCCGGGCTCTTTGCTCCTTCCCCGCAGCGGCGCCGGCCCGGGCGCCTTCGCGTCGGGCTCGGGCGCCGCGTGGAAGCGGGGGAGGCCGGGCAGCGGGTAGAGGCTGCCGAGGCCGCCGGGGGCGCGGGGAGAGCCGGGSGGGCGGCCCGCGAGGGCGCCGGGCGCAGAGGGGTGCGGAGCGGCGCGCGGGGCCGGGGGGCTCTCCGGGGCCGCGGCGCCGGCCGGGATGCCCGGGCTGGGCCACGGGTTGTGCTGTAGCTGGGGGAAAAAAGAAAGAAAAAGGGGAAAACAAACGGCAGAGCGAAGGGGGGAGGCCGGGTTAGTGCGGGAGGGAGTGGGGAGCAATTTCTTATGCTTTGGGGGGCATTCGTGGGACGCTACCACTTTGCTTTAATGCCCAGGGGAGGAGAATCCTGGTGGAAATGCCTTTTATTATTATTTTTTTTTCCCCACAAAAATTACACTTAATTTTGCACATAGTTTTGGCAATTCCCCCTTAGAAGCAGGCACTTGCCTCCCCTGGGGAATTTGTCCCCATTTTGGGGAAGGGGTGCCCCTCTGCCTCCCTCTTTTTGGCGTGTTCCCCTGTGGTGCATGGGTGGCTGCATCGGAAACCCAGGCTGCTGCCCGGTCCCTTCTCTCCRATCCCCTGGGATTTGCTGAATCCCCCCCGCCAGGATCCACAGGGAGTTTTGCCCCAYGGAAAAGGAGCTGCCCAGGGGGGTTTCTCACCTCCAGGATTTTGCCGTAGCGCTCCCGTTTCCGCCACTTGGCCCGGCGGTTCTGGAACCAGACCTGGAAGGAGGGTCGGGATGGGACTGCCGCGAGCTGGGATGCAGTGCTGGCCCTGCTAAATCCCTGCCTGCTTCGACAAGGAACGGACTACTCCGCATCCCGCCCCAAACTGGGTCTTCCTGCACAAAAGGACCTGCCAGCTTTTTGCATCAGCAAAGGAGCAAAATCCCTCTATTTTTTTTTTTTCCCCACCATGGATAACATCCCATAAGTGGGAATTGGATCTAATCCCCGCAAGCGGCAGCTCTTCCCAGCCCCTACCTGCACCCTGGCTTCGGTGAGCTCGGTGCGCAGGGCCAGCTGCTCCCGCGCGTAGACGTCCGGGTAATGGGTCTTCTGGAAAACCTTCTCCAGCTCCTCGAGCTGGAAGGTGCTGAAGGTCGTCCTGTTCCTCCGCTTTTTGGCCTTGCCCTTGCCCAGCACCGGAGGCTCGGGGGCACCCATGGGTGCTGCCAGCGGGCAGCCCATCTCCGCCTGCGAGCCGCCTCTGCAGCCCTTTGTGCTGCCTGGGGGAAAGCAAAGAGATCTCTCGGATCCAGGGACAATCCCGCTCCGGTGAAGGGAGGAAATCACCTCCTTGGGCTCAGTTCTCCCTCTCCAGCCCATCCCCGTGGCCAGGGCTCCGGCTGCCCTGTGCACCCGCTCAGGGCTCTGCACCCCGTGGCGGCCACCAGCTTCCAAAGCGACCTGTGGGTTTTTTTCCAGACTTTCCTCTTTCATTTTTTGGTTGTTTCCTAATTAAGGCAATTTGGGGTTACTCTGTGCAACAGAGGGGCAGCTGCTTTGAATTAACGGGAAAACGGTATCTCCGGGCRAGTCAGGGGGCGATTTCTCCCTTTTCCTTGCTGGTCCCGACCCTGCTCTGTGTCCCGGCGGCTTCGCTCTTTCTTTCCCGCTTTGTCTCCCAAAGGGCTCAGCCGGCTGAAGGGGGTTTAACAACAGAAATAACTGAGCTGATCCCAGAGCAAAGACCAAAACGAGGCAAAAAAAACGAACCCCCTGAAACAAACCAAAACAAAAAAGAGATCCAAAGTGAAAGRAAAAAAAAGAAGAAAAAAAGAAGAAAAAAAGAAAAATCCTAATGCACAAATTGGGCGCCTAAATGTATTGATTTTTCTCTTTTTTTCCTGTTTTCTCATTGCATTTCCAAGCGACCCAGGGATTTTCAGCTTTGGAGACATACAAATAAAAGGCCCTAACGAAAGAGAAGACAAGAAGGGGACAAAGCGGATGAGAAAAGGGAAGAGGGAGCTGATTTCCACCCACCCCCCCAAAAGTGACACCCCCGACAAGACTCTGCGGCGAGGACGGCGTGAGCAGCTGGGGAGCAGCTGTACAATTACCGGGCGAAAGGAGAGGGGAGCCGAGAGCCCGGCGGGACCCCGGGCAAGGGGCGCAGGAGCAGAGCGGAGCGGCCGCGGGCGGCCCCCGGCGCCGGCAGCGCCCGTCGCAGGGAAGAGCAGCCCCGGCCCCGCCGCTCCGGGGCTCCCGCCGCCCGTTGGAGTTTGGGCATTAGAAAAAACAACAAACCAACCAAAAAGAAAAAAAAAA